TCAACTTTATTTTACTGTACTTATTTTCCCGAAAATAAGACCTGGTCTTATTTTATTTTTTTTGGATCCAAAAGAGGCAGCAACTCTCATTTTCGGGGGATGTCTTACCCACTTATCTTAGGACCACCGCAGCCAGGTCTCCCATGCCCCAACACCTGCCTCACCTCGCTGGCCCACTTCTGTGGCCGCTCGCACGCATTGCCCCCAGGCTCTGTTTTGCTAGCAGAGGCCTTCAGGAAAGGCCTCTGCAGCTGAGAAACAAGTTTCGGATTGACATGCGCATCGCCCCTGGCCTCCGTTTTGCTGGCAGAGGCCTTCAGGAAACAAGCTTTGGATTGACATGAGCTGCTCACCCCGGCCTCCATTTCACCATCAGAAAGGCCTCTGCCAGTGAAATGGAGGCCAGGGGTGCCATATATGTCAATCTGGAGCTCGTTTCTCGGCTGCAGAGGCCTTTCCTTAAGGCCTCTGCCAGCAAAACAGAAGCAATGCATGCAAGCAGCGGCGAGCGGCCTCAAAAGTGAGCCGGTGAAGCAAGGCAGGTGTCAGGGCGTGGAAGCCCTGGCTGCAACTGTCCTGAGGTAAGTGGGTGCAGGGCACATGGGGCAGGTCCACCCCCAACCCCCACCCTAGCTTGATTTTTATCTGTGCGTCTTGCCCCACCCCGTGCAACCAGGTGCAATGGAGTGGGCAGGGTCTTAAGTAGGGCTTATTTTGGGGGTAGGGCTTATATTGGGTGCATATGTAAAAATCAAATTAGGGCTTATTTTCAGGGAAACACAGTCATTGAGTCATGCAGCATACTTGTTTAATAAATTATTGTTTGTCACACACAGTCAGTCAGATATTCAGACTGCATTTGGAATTTTTGTCCACCTATTGAGTCCTTTCCAAGGACCTGGGATAGGCAGATATGAATGTTTGATTAAATTAAGGGTATTGTCACAGAATGTAAGCTGTTTCAAGTAAAGCTGCCTTTTGCAATTAACTGACGGTGAAGTTGTCAATGCTGATGGTGTTCAATTGGTGGTCCAGTTGTTTTGGGTGCGTTATTACTATTGGTACTTCCGTTGCTTTTTTTTGCCACCATCGTTCTATTTCTATTTGCAGGTCTTTGTATTTTGTTATCTTCAATAGTTCTTTCTCTTCTATTCTGCTGTTTCCAAGTAGTGCCACATCCACTATTCAGATTTTTTTGTCTTTCTTATCAACAATTATTATGACAGAGGAATGTTTTCACACTTCCAAAAATTACAATGAGCAGCAGAAATCATAATCTTTTCACGTCTTGCTTATCATCCATCTGAAATTATGGATCTTGAAAGGGCATTGTCCCATGGCCAGACAGAGAACAAAGCTATGGGACACACACCAGTTATTTACAAGTAACATACTTACCTCAATTTATACAAGTAAAAAGAAACACGAGGCAATAAAATTGGGGAAACCTTTGGATTAAAGGAAAAGATATCTGGACATCTAGCACTGAATCCGTTTCAGATGCAAATAGTTCTTGACTTACTACTAGTTACTTGGCGACCATTCAAAGTTCCTTCCTTAGAGCTAGTTAAAACTTGGATTTGAATTTCCAACGGTCATCCTCGGGTCATGTGACCAAACTTTGGCCACTAGGCAACACGGCTGCATTTACAGCCATTTGCAGCATTCATGACCACATAATTACGTTTTACAATGGTTTTGGCTAAAATTGGCACTTACTTCTAGTTTTCGGCAAAACTGAACTCACAGAAAATCATTGGTTTGCTTAACAACTACTGCAAAAAAGATTGTAAAATTGGGTCAGGTATGCAGGCTCCACTATGATCGTAAGTCAGAATTCTTAAAACTAACAGCATGGAAAGAAAGTAATAAAAATGCTCAAACTATGTAGGAAAAAATCCCTGTCCATCTAAACAGTAGTTTCACCACACAGTGAAAAGCATCTAGTCAAGCTGAATATTTGTACATACCAGCTCTGTTGTATGGCTGAGCATCTCCAGACTTCTAAAACTAGATAGAATTGTTTTGTTGCAAATAACATTGTGCAGAATGACAAGAAAATACTTAAAGGATCCACAGATAGTCCTGAACTTACAACTTTTAATTTAGTGACAATTCAAAGTTACAACAGCACTTGTGACTTCTGACTGGTCCTCACACTTACGACCATCATACCATCATGGTCACATGATAAAAATCCAGGCGCTTGGCAACCGGCATGTATTCATGATGGTTGCATCATTCTGGGTCATGTGATCACTGTTTGTTTCCCAGCCAGCTTCCAACAAGCAGTCAATGGGTGAAGCTGGAGTCACTTAGTAACTGCATGATTCACTTAACTGCAGTGATTCGCTTAACAACCATGGCAAAAGAGGTGGTAAAATCTGTGCTGGCACAGTGGCTAGAATGCAATATTGCAGGCTAATTTTGCCAACTGCCAGCAGTTCGATCCTGACCAGTTCAAGGTTGACTCAGCCTTCCATCCTTCTGAGGTTGGTAAACTGAGGACCCAGATTGTTGGAATATGCTGATTTTGTAAACCACTTAGTGAGGGCTGTAAAGCATTATGAAGCGGTATATAAGTCTAAGTGCTAAAATCAAGTATGACTCACTTAACAACTGCCCTGCTTAGCAATGTAAGTTCTGGTGCCGGTTGTGGTTGTAAGTTGAGGACTATGATGCAATGTTTTCTCCTAAATTGCAACTTTTCATACATGCCACCATGTATGAAAGGCTGTGAATATAAACAGTGAACTAACTCTTTGAAATGTGAGGTTCTGATACAATCATTTATTTTAAATAATGAAAGCAGAGCTTGGTGGATATTGATAGTTACAATTGTTAAAAATAAGACCGTTATCTTGATTTCAAAAATGGATTCAGTGACTTTATACTTCAAGGCATCAACGTTAGCCTGATTAAAAACTAATACAGAAATATTATTTGAAGGACTAGCCTTTTTCTTCTCCATCTCCTTCTTTTTGCACCAAGAGGCTACCAAGAAAGTCCTAATGATTGTGGCCTTTTCCACCTGAAAGGATATTACAGTTTACACCAGTGTTTCTCAACCTTGACAATTTTAAGGCATGTGGACTTCAACTCCCAGAATTCCACAGCCAGCATTGCTGGCTGTGGAATTCTGGGAGTTGAAGTCCACATGCCTTAAAATTGTCAAGGTTGAGAAACACTGGTTTACACCAAAGGATGTCCTTGTCCTTGTCAGGGCAAAGTTCCGACTTTTATGTCTTTCCTCCTTTTTAAATGGTAACTTCGAGTGAGGGGCTGTCACGACTTAGTTGGAGTGTTGAAAACAATCCGAACCTAGTCCAGGATGCGGAAGTTCTCACTCTGGTCGGGCTCGCGGTTGAGAGCTGCCAATCGGACCCTCCGGAGGAAATGTACTCGGGCGACTGAACCTTCTCCAGTGGAATAAATTAATGCGGAATTAAACGCACCCACAGCTCAATTTACCGCGGCCCTCCTTTTGCCCTTTCGCCGCTTCTTCCGATTCGCCCGCCGAGGCAGGCCACGCACAGCCCTTAACCGAGAGCTGATCCAGCCCCTTCCTGTGCCGTTGCCGTTTCCAAGCCGGGCAGCAACTGTCTCCGCTTCAGCGGTGTAGCGGCTTTTCGAGTCTATCCGGGATTTGCAACCTGATCCTCAAGGAGCTCCACGGTGGACGGACATCCTCGAGGTTGCCATATAAGCGAAACCTGGGATCACTCCTGGGGACGCTCCTTTCATTCAGCGGCAAAGGAGCCACGCGCCCGCCAGGTATTTTGAAACTATCCAGAAGAGAGGAAAGCTCGCCCGGGTAGACGCTGGAGAGTCTTGGGTCAACGTAGGATTTCCGCCTGTAAATGCATGGAAACGTGTGGAACGAAGTGGAAAGCCAAAACTGCTCGCGCATCTCCGGCTTTGCTATCGTAAGAACTGCCGCCTTTTCCCTCTCTTTTTTTTTTTTTTCCTCCTCCTCTACTTCTGCGCACGCTTCGTGTTCCAAACGACCTGCTTATGCTGCAAATTCCTCTTGGAAGGCGAGAGGGGAGGACCGGAATGACCGCCGAGATTTGAAACGAACAAGCGCGGAATTTGGTATTCATGGCTTGTGTTAGTACCGTAGCTCTCGGTACAAGTTAAAATCTTGTCTCCTGATTAGGATCGCAAGTTTAAACCACGTTGACCTTATCCCCGAGTTAAATATGCCTCTGACGGTGGAAAAAATAAAAGAATTATGGATTCAGTAGAACCTGGTCCTCCATAAATAAAAAAAAACCTCATCTCTCTCTTTATTGCAAATATCTAGTGTACCTTATCTTAAGACTAACAGAGAAAGATTTTGAGGCTTTTCCGCTATGCGCTGGAACATCCTTTTCAACTTCATCTTGTCTTTTGTTTTAGCTCACTCTTAATACAAAATAATAAAAAAGAGGCCGCTGATGATTACCATTAGGGACTTCCTGAAGATTCATCTCCCTTGCAAAAAAGGGAGGGTCAGATAAATTTATAGAAGTGATATTGCTGGCTTTGAAAAAATATTCAGTTTTGCTGCCATATCTGTCTAGCACATAACTCCAAAGGTTTCCATTTTGCTTGCTGCAAGTGAATTTTATACATACACGTGCACCCAAGAAGGAACACGTTTTATGTAGTGATATTATAAATAGTTCTCTTCCATGATCATGGAGTGCTCCTAAATCAGTTTGTAAAGAATTATTACAGGGACAAAATTCCAAAATTGGGGTCTACAATATGGAACAGAGATCTTGATGTTGATGTGTGGCCAGGAACACGGGATAACGTCTTGTCCTCTTCCTCAGCTAAGGGTTGCCCACTGATCACCTTTTTCTAGGCCGTGGTGCCATCTAAAATTGTCTGATGTTGGAATCACAGCTGGAACATCTACAACCCCTGAAGCAGAAGGCAGAGCTGTCCATGCTGGCCAGAGCCACTGGACCCTTCAACTATGGCTGGAGACAAATCCCACTTTGTGGGCATGTAATGTACTTATGATCCAGTGGCTGTTCTATGCAGATTCCTAATCTGCCAATCTGTCCAGTTCAGTGAGATGATGGAGCATGGACGCCAGAGCCGCCAGCGGGCTTCCGAGATTATTCGCAAGCAGAAACGTAAAGAACTGGATGCCCGACGCAGCAAGTGCCGAATCCGTATTGGAAGCCACCTGGAGCAGTGGTGTCAGCTCAAAGAGCAGCTGGGTTTTTCTCTCCATTCCCAGCTGGCCAAATACCTGCTTGACAGGTGAGATTTTGTGCGCAATGACTATTTCTACCTCTGTTAGTTTTGTCCAAATATTAAATAAATATTCAACATTAGGCTGTATGAATTTAAGTGAAGGGCTGTGTGACATGTCTCATGCTACTTTAATAGGTTGAACTGCTTGATTTTGGGCAAATGTTGCAAGCTTTCTGCTATTTTAGAAGAAGAGAATATCAAGCTGAGATTTCACAGTGTAGAAAATAAAATGGCATATTAATAAGCATGCTTACCCAGAGAAAGAGTCGCTCCCATCATCAGCTACTGTACTCCCATCATCGTTTTGGGTTATTCTAATGCCTTTCTCCCTATTCTTATTTTGGCCCAATCTTTAATTGGCCAGGAGAACCTTAAAAGAGAAGCTGGCAGAAACAGTAGAAAATGTTTGGTATAGTGCGGTGTTTCCTAAACTTGGCAGCTGTCAGGTAAATGGACTTCAACTCCCAGAATTCCACAGGTAGGATAAGTCACTCCTCAGAATTCTGACAATTGAAGCCCATACCCATGGAAGTTCCACATTTGAGAAGGTTCTGATCCTGCTGCTTTTTATTATTAAAATTATCTTCTATGCTGGGTGCCACTTACAGATTATTTTTGCTCATGTGCGAGCACAATTTATTCTGTCTGCTCACTCTACCTCTTATCTTTCTTTTGTAGGTACAGTTCACATGCCTCAGTATTGAAAACAGGTAAACACCCTTACAGGCTATCTATAGTCTAGGTTAGAAGAGGCTTATATTGGTAGTCCTTGGCTTACGACTACAATTGAGCCCAAAATTTATGTTATTAAGCAAGAGACTTGTTAAGCGACTTTTGCTCCATTTTGCGGCCTTTCTTGCCACAATTTTTAAATAAATCACTGCAGTTGTTAAGTTAGTAACACAGCTGTTAAGTGAATCTGGCTTCTCCATTGCATGTCAGAAGGTCACAAAAGGGGGTCACATGATCCCAGGACACTGGCTGTCGTAAATAGTTGCCAAACCTCTGAAATTTGATCACGTGACCATGGAGAGAGTGCAACGGTCATAAGTGAAAAATGGTCATGAGTCACTTTTTTCAGTGCCGTTGTAACTTCAAACAGTCACTGAATGTTATAAGTCAAGGACTACCTGTAATTATATAGACCCTTGAACTAAAATTCAGTTTCTCCTTTTGAGGTGCTGGGCTGCATTAACAGAGGGATAGAATCAAGATCACGTGAAGTATTAATACCACTTTACAATGCCTTGGTAAGGCCACACTTGGAATACTGCATCCAGTTTTGGTCACCACGATGTAAAAAAGATGCTGAGACTCTAGAAAGAGTACAGAGAAGAGCAACAAAAATGATTAGGGGACTGGAGGCTAAAACATATAAGGAACGGTTGATGGAATTGGGTATGTCTAGTTTAATGAAGAGAAGGACGAGGGGGGACATGATAGCAGTGTTCCAATATCTCAGGGGCTGCCACAAAGAAGAGGGAGTCAGGCTATTCTCCAAGGCGCCTGAGGGCAGGACAAGAAGCAATGGATGGAAACTAATCAAGGAGAGAAGCAACCTAGAACTAAGGAGAAACTTCCTGACAGTTAGAACAATTAACCAGTGGAACAACCTGCCTCCAGAAGCGGTGAATGGTCCAACACTGGAAGTTTTTAAGAAGAGAGACTGGACAGCCATTTGTCTGAAATGGTATAGGGTTTCCTGCCTGAGCAGGGGTTTGGACTAGATGACCTCCAAGGTCCCTTCCAACTTTTATTATTATTATTATTATTATTATTATTATTATTATTATTATTATTATTATTATTATTATTATTTTATTATTATTATTATTATTATTATAGGGTTGAGAACTTGGGGTGGGGAATTTCACACTGAAGTTTTGCTTCCCTGTTAAAGGCGAGTCTCTTTTCTTCTCCTTTTCTCAGGATCAGACAGCTTCAGTGCTGAGCCCATCGCTTTTCCTTCTGAGGCATTGCAGCATCTGGTTGTCCTTTCTCACAACCACAGCCAGGAATGTGCTTTCATCCCCAATGTGAAGCCTACTTTGCTGGAGCAGGAGACCGTCTGCAGCCAGCTGGAATGGGAGTGTCTAGCTGGCCATACTTTCGCCTGGAGTCCCCCTGCCTCAAACATCAGCCCACCACCCTTTTGCCAAAAAGCCTCTAGTGACAGGCAGGAGCAAGAGGAGGAAGCAATCACTTCCAAGCTCAGCCCCCCACCCTCCCCGGTCACCAGATGCCGTCGCTCCCTTCGCAAGGCAGCAGCGGCCCATGCCATTTCGTTAGCACTTGCTTCCAGCTCGCCCTGTCCTGTGGACGAGCCGGAGTCCTCTTCCCAAGAAGATGAGGAATGTGGTATGGACAGAGAGAGGACCACATGTATGTCTCCTGCCAATGGCACAGGTCTGGACAAGGAGACAGAATTATTGTGCAATACAAACTCGGATGAGACAGGTGAGGGGGAGAGGCTGGAGGAGACCCGGATAGAATTGGGAGGCTTTAAGTCTAGACTTGTGCTGGGCAAAGGTGGCAAATTGGTAGGATATGCAAAGCACTGGGGGGGGGTGAGGGGCTATGGGGCAGAAGTGGGCCAGGGTAGGATTTTTCTTGTGGGATATCTGGATTGTGGCTAGAAGTTTATTTCAAGGTGTTGAGCCTTGATATATATTTCAGGGTTTTGAGCCTGTCAATAACACTTTTACTGTGTGTCCGGTAATCCTAAATAATCTTAGTCCAAAATTCTAAGAAAAAGAAAACCCTGCAAAATAGCAATGAGGAAGCTAGATCTTTCTCCTTCCCCCACTAAAATTAATTTTACAATAATGAGGGCAAGGGACATACATTTTGCAAAAGAAAGGCAGCCTGAAGTTGGAAGTCAGATACATATTGAAACCAGAAGGAATGTCACTGCTCTTGAATAAAAAAACCAAATAAATGAACTTACAGGGAAAATTAACCTATCAAGGCTTACTAGCCTCACTCACCAAAATATATATTCTGGGGGAACAAGGAAGAAAGGGAGTCCTTTGTAGTTTTCAAAAAGACCTCTGTCTGATCCCCTAAACGAGATTCTAACCAGGCAAGAGACTATTAAAAGCGAACCAAGTAGATGCCTATATTTTTTTAAAAAGAAATAAACATGATCTTGGGAAATGGTTTTGGGAGTGATTTATGTCTACCGTTGAGCTTCAGGGTCCAGGGTCCTTTTAAATGGCTACCTTAAAAAGTCTTGCTGATCCACGTCTCTCAATCCGACACTGCCATGTTTTCTCTTGCAGCAGCTGTAACAGATGAGATTCCAGGTAGCACTGAAGTTCCAGGGCCTGAAAGGTACATTTCTTCTCTCGTGCCATCATAGCAGGGTCCAAATGGACCTTGCTTGCTACGTACTGAGGGCAAATGGCTTTCAGATTCACTTGATTGAGGGTATCTTTTGTAACAGTGACATTTGTCGAAGAAACCTGGTGCAAAAGACAGCTTGGAAAGACATTGAGGAAAATAATGATCCCGGGGATTTGTTCTGAGCCTCAGTAGTGAAGGGAGATCACCATTTTATACTAAAATCTATTCCTGGTTTTCCTTTGTGTGTGTGTGTGTCTGTCTGTGTGTGGGTGTCGGGGGAGTGGTAGAATAAATTCCTGAAATTTTCTAATGTCCTTAAATGATTGGGGTTTGGGCATTTTTAATGATTGATGGAGTGGCTTTGTGCTATCTAATTGATACCAGCTTTTAGCGACCACATACATAGATCTTTCCAGAATGATCTGTCCTCGGCCTGATCTTTCAGAAAGTCCAGGAGTTCACTCATTACTACAGTAATCAATAAGCCAATATGTCCAACCTCAGTTTGGACATCTTTTTTTCCTTGTTTTACTGTGTCTAATTCCATCTTCTGTGTCTACAGGTGTTGTTGTAATATGGTTTCATACCTCTTCTAACAGCAATATAAAATTATTTTAAGTTTATTTTAATGAGATCTTTGTTTTCTTGGTTTGGACATATTTTCTCGGCAATTTCCACCATTTGTTCTGACACTCAGTGTTCTTTTTTGGTCACTGACTGCACTGCTGTATCCTCCCTGCCTCTGAAAGCTATGCCAGGCCTTCTTTGGTTTCAAGCCCTGAGTGACAAGCAGTGTAATTTTCTGACTGAAAGTGTCCAATTCTGGTCCATTCCAATCTGCTGGTGTCAATCTGTAGTCAATTTGTTTCAGTGTTCACTTCATTGAGCTTTTCCATGTTCATGGTTCTTATATTCCATATGCTCACCATTAACTCTCTTTGCAACTTCAGATTTTCTTTTTTTGTACGGCAACATCCGCAACTAGATGTCCTGAAGGCTTTAATCTAGGCCAGGGGTAGGCAACCTTGGCTCTTTTATGACTCGTGGACTTCAACTCCCAGAATTCCTGAGCCAGCCGTGCTGAGGGGAAAGGGAGAGGTTTCCAAGCTGAGCCATGCTGGCTCAGGAATTCTGGGAGTTGAAGTCCACGAGTCATAAAAGAGCCAAGGTTGATCTAAATACCATTAGTACTTAGAAAGATATACTGAGTGCTGTCTGACCTGAGAGACCCATCATCAATCATGTTATCTTGCTGCCATGTGATTTTCTTTGTAGAAGACCATTGCCTTCTCCCACGCAGTACTAGCTTATGCCAGGGGTGTCAAATTCGCCACGTCACGTGATGTGCCACAACGTATCGTGACTTTTTCCCCATTGCCAAAGCTGGGGTGGGCGTGATTTTGGCATGATGCATCCAGCCCGCGGACCGGCAGTTTGACACCCCTGCCTTATGCCATTGTCACTAAAGTGATCATCTGCCTGCTGCATTTTATCATATTATAACTTCCTATACAGGTAGTCCTCGACTTACAACAGTTCATTTAGTGACCATTTGAAGTTACAGCAGCACTGAAAAAAGTGACTTGTGACCATTTTTCACCCTTATGACTGTGGCAGCAGCATCCCCCTAGTCACGTGATTTACATTTGGATGCTTGACAGCTGGTTCATGTTTATGACGGTCACAGTGTCCTGTGATCATGTGATCACCTTTTGCTACCTTCTGATAAGCAAAGACAATGGGGAAACCAGATTCACTTAACAACCGTGTTACTAATTTAACAACTTCAGTGACTCACTTAACAATTAAACTGGCTGTAAGCCGCCCTGAGTCCTCCGGGAGAAGGGCGGGGTATAAATTTAATAAAATCAAAATCAAAAATCAAAATCAAATTGTGGCAAGAAAAGTCATAAAATGGGGCAAAACTCACTTAACAACATAAATTTTGAGCTCAATTGGGGTCGTAAGTTGAGGACTACCTGTCTTGCTTGCTTTAACTGGAAGCTAGGATGACCTTCATGTCTTGAATAATCCTGCTGAGAATATATTCTTTTGGCAAATAGTCTCAGTGTTCTTTGCTCATCCTTCCAAAAACACACACAGACCTACCACCCCTTGCCATAATGAGGCAGCATAGCAAGATTTCAGTTCTCCCAGATTTTCCACACACACCCCATTTACCACCAACAGGAGAAGGTAGGAGTGCAACTAATTTAATAACTTTTAATTGCTAGTGCAAGAAATCAAAACTAGTCCTCCAGCATTGTGCTTGCAGCATCTCTGACCAGCTGCACAGAGGAATTCCAGATTTAGTTTTTAACTCAGACTTTCCAAACTTCGTGTTCTCTAGATGTTCCAGAAAGTTCAGCAGTGACAACATATTGGCAGAGGAATTCTGGGAGTTGAAGTCCATATATCTGAAGGAAGACCACTAGGGGAAAGCTGCTTCAGATCTCTTAATTAAAATAGTGTGAGGCTTGACTTGACTTACAACTCCTACCATTCTTGATCAATAGCCACATCAGCTGAAAAAGGAGGAATGTACCAAACTAAACAAGCCAAGGTTAATCCAGAATGAAGGATCTTTGTGGACTGAATCTTGGCCTTTCGTTTTCTGTACTTTCTTTAGGATTTTAACCCTACCAGGGGAGACACCAGAATCAGTGTCTGGTCCACCAGAGGAGGAAGAAGCAGAAGATTTCACAGAGGAGGATAATATGGTGTACATGGATGACCTGGGAGATGAAAATTATCAGCCTTCCTTGGATAGGTAATGAAATTAGAAGATTTTAAATTCAGCAGAGTCCAGTTCAGAATGGATAATGAGAGATCAACAAGGAAGTATTTTCTGTAATCATTTGTATACCACTTCACATGCAAGTCCTACTAGGTGACGTATGGAATAGAAGAGTTCTTCCCAGTCTTAGCAACTTAATGGCACGTGGACTTCAACTCCCAGAATTCTTGGAGGCGATGTCCACATATCTTAAATTTGCCAAGGTTGAGAAACATTGGAATAGAACACCTCAAATGAACACTCAAGCTAGGTGATTTTAACAATACATACAGTACCAGTTAAAATTAAATAAATCAATAGCAAGGCAGCAAGTGGCTTAGCACTGCCTACATTTGGGATATTTCACAAACTTCCCATTTTATTTACAGTCCTGGAATTTCTTGATAGACTTCTATCCACATATAACCCAGTGTTTCAAAAAATAGTCAAGATCACATTGGTGCTGTCATCCTATAGGAAATCCTTTGACACTTACCTGGAATATAACAGGGTTACGATAAGACACTGCATTATAAATGTCACTGGAGTCAAATAGTTATCCAAAATGCCCCAGATGTGTGTCTTTTCAGTTGTTAGGTACTAAAGATGGCCCTAATACTACTACTTTATACTTATACTTTATGCTGCAACATTTTTTTTAGACTAAGGACTCTGTGGCCCTTTATAGCATACCCATTACACCAAACTGACTCTTAAAAATTTAATTATACTGTTCAACACAATATGATTACCTTTCACATAGTTAGTAGTTTTCTACCACTATTGTTCTAAGAATTGTAGTGTCAAGGAAGACTCTGGGCTATAACCAAAGCATTTAGAGCCATGTTCTGCCCTAAGGTTCAGGTTTTGCTCCTCTGCCTTAAAGAATAGAGTACCATCAAAGTAGAAATGCACATTAGTTTACAGTATGAAATTGGTTTGAGCCATCCAGGGTTAAACCTAAAAAGGTTTAATCAGTTCCTTCATTTTTCTACCAGCTCTCCAGGCATTTCTTTTCCTCATATTTGTCAGCCCAAAACTTTGTGTATAAATGTTTGTTTTTTTATTATTGACTGATTTGAGTCATTGATTGATTCTATGTTTTTTATTGCCATTTTAGCCCAGTTTTCATGAAAAGCAATCCCAATCTCTCTTTCTAGCTGCAAGAAGCAGGTACAGCCAGGAGATGAAGACATGTCCCAAATTGGTCCTAAGAGAATCAGGTAAGTTCAGGTCCATGGTTGCTCATGATATCCTCAGCCAATGTGGACCAAAAGTAGAAAGGAAAGCTTATAGGGAAGTTTAGGTAGGTTGGTTAAAGCTGCAAGACTGGCAAAGATTACCGGCTTGCCTATTTATTGCCTCTCTATTTATCTATTCATCCATCCATCCATCCTGCTTACAAACTGCAGTTTATATGCTGCTTAGTCCAACAAGCTCAAAGCAGCATACAACAACGAAAATAATGCATCATTAAATTAAAAAAAAACATCATTAGCAATAGCACTTAGACTTGTATACCGCTTCATAGTGCTTTACAGCCCTCTCTAAGTGGTTTACAAAGGCAGCATATTGCCTCCAACAATCTGGGTCTTCATTTTACTGACCTTGGAAAGATGGAAGGCTGAGCCCACCTTGAACCGGTCAGGATCGAACTGCTGGCAGTTGGCAGAGTTAGCCTGCAATATGGCATTCTAACCATTGCACTATCATGGCTCTTGCTCATCAGAAAAAGAAGGAGCAGCTGCACCCCAAGGAACAGCTACAACAGGCATGTCAAACTGCTGGCCTGCGGGCCGGATGCGTCACGCCAAAGGCGCGCCCACCCCATTGCCAGCAATGGGAGAAAAAGTCCCGATAAGTTGCGCGACTTCATGTGACGTCGCAAGTTTGACATGCCTGAGCTACAACATTCAAAGAGGAAGAAGAGCAGCTAGCAAGGCTCACCATAGCTTTTCAGGATTAGCAAAGCCAGAAATTATAAAAAAAAATCATATGCATGAAACCTTTATCTAATAATAAAAAAGTTATTAAAAACCTAATGGATTATTTCAATTACCTTTTCTTTGGAATCATGGAGACTTCAAGAGCTACAGATGTATTTTGGGAAAAGCTGCTTCCCCAAAACTGTTAATTAATCTATTTTTCTATCAAATGAATTAGATTAAAATCACACTGGCTGCAATTTAAGTCAAATTATTTTTGACCCATCAAGATCTCTAAACAATCCAGGTTTGTTTACTTTGGGGTGGGAGAGATGTCTATAAAATACTTCTGTATGTTGAGCTAGAGTACCCAAAAGTTGTGTTAGATCAGGGGTCCTCAAACCTGGCCACTTTAAGATTTGTGGACTTCAACTCCCAGAATTCCCCAGACAGCCATGCTGGCTGGGGAATTCTGGGAGTTGAAGTCCACAAGTCTTAAAGTGGCCAAGTTTGAAGACCCCAGTGTTAGATAGTTCTATAAATCGGTTGTGTATCTTCAGCCTGGAGATTTGATATGTTTCCTCTTCCTTTTGGCTTTCCTGTCTGTTCTGCCTTTGCCTTTCTTCACAGGAAGGCAGCCAAGCGAGAGATTCTCCTTTGTGACTATGATGGTTGTGGGAAAATTTTCTCCAATCGCCAATACTTGAATGTAAGTGAAGGAGGACCAGCAGTGGCCACCAGTCTCTTGGGTTGGATACAAATGACTGACAAAACTTCTATCTTTCATTTAAATTTTCCAAAGTGTCAGCACTTTAGAGTCAAGCAACAGGGTGACGCTTTCTATAAGGCCCTGTTTGTTGGCATCTGGTTGGACCAGAAGCATCGAAGTTAATAGAAAACTACAAATCTTAGATTTTTATACCAGAAAAGGTTCCCCTCTTTACTTTAGAAGCATCATCCAGAGAAATAGAAGGGATGCAAGGTCCAGTTGCTACAGAATCTCATAATTGCGTATGCCTTATGCTACTAAAAAAAAATCTTCCTTTGGATTATCTAAGCCAATGGTTCTCACCCTGTGATTCGCAGACCCCTGGGAGCCCTGATGTCGTCACAGGGGGTCCACAAAGGCTTGAAGAAATGTTATGATTTAAATCTTGAGTTAAGTCTTGGGGGGTCCGTGGTGAAGAAAAGGTTGAGAACCACTGCTCTAAGCTAAGGAGCGATACAGATTTTAGAGCCTGATATTCTCTCTCTGGGCTATTTTTTTCCTCATCTTCCAGCACCACAAGAAATACCAGCATGTTCACCAAAAGACCTTTACCTGCTCTGATCCCGGCTGCGGCAAGTCCTTCAACTTCAAGAAACATCTCAAAGAACATGAGAAACTGCACAGTGGTGAGAGAGTCTAACAATGTGCTTTTCCTCCATTCGGTGCCTGCTAAACATTTTGAGCTACAACTTTCATTGTCCTGGCAGTCTGTCTAACCCAGGGGTGTCAAAACTGCTGGCCCGCAGGCCGGACGCATCACGAGGAAACTGTGCCCACCCCATTGCCAGCAATGGGGGGAAAGTTCCGATATGTTGCACGACGTCACGTGATGTCGCGAGTTTGACATGTCTGGTCTAACCAATGGTCAAGGCATTCTGAGAGTTGTGCTCCTGACCACATGGAAGGCACCAGGTTGTCCATTCACCAGTGATAATGTTGCATGTTGATAGGTTCCAATTCTTTCCAGACAGAAAAGTTGTTTAATGGCCTTTGACAGGTTGTCATACCTTAGAAAACAATTTAATGATACAAAAGGACACTGGGTGGCAAAAAGGAATTATCCCGGAACATTTTCGGGAGAGAAGAGGTTAAAACAGGCCATAATTATGAATCATCTGTCCTTCAGCCTCTGGTGAGAAGCCAGTGATTGTGGGGACAAGACCATCACATTAGTCCCTCACATGGATGATTTTGGGTGATAAAGCATGTCATGTGACTATAGTAATTGTATTTGGTTATTCTGGTCTATGATTTAGCATGTTGTGCAACCTCTGCAAAAAAAATAATAATATCCAGCAATTCTGCTGCACTTCTAAAACTAACATGGTATATTCATTTGGAGAGAATCCCCCACTTATAGTCCATTTTATTTTTTCATTGTGGAAAGCTACAAGTTCCTTTTCAAGAGCTGATCAGAGAACACCCATAAAAGACATGGTGCCACACTAAAAGAAATCATTAGATACATCAAATCTTAAGAACAAAGGCAAAACCCACACCAGGAACAGACACAGAACATCCCCTTTAGACTCACCTCACTGCCACTGTTTCCTGCCAGTCCTTACTTCTCTTGTCCTCTTATTTGACTCAAACTCAAGTCATCTTTCCATGGAAAAAATCAAACTCATGGAGCAACTTGGGTTGAGCACTAGAGAGCTTGTTGGTGTGATTTTGCATTGTTTTTTTCCTGTGCAAATTGTCAATTATTTGTTAATTAAGTTCCTTGTGAACTGTTTAAAAATCAGGTTTCATTATGATGTGGTCCTGTCCTCAGCACAGAAATCAGATTCAGGAACTAAGTTGGATAACTTCTGAGCTTGGAATAAAAAGGGAAAAGAAGGCCGCAAAAAACATTTTGGATCAACCCTAAATGTAATATTGGGGGGGGGGGGGGGGAAAGATTTATAGGTTGCCCATATCTATAATGAAGGCTGTGCCTTTAGGATCAGGCTGGCCAGTGACTTATTGTGCCCTTACTTGCAGATAAAAGGGACTACATATGTGAATTCTGCGCCCGCTCCTTCCGAACGAGCAGTAATTTGATTATCCACAGGCGGATCCACACTGGAGAAAAACCCCTACAGTGAGTATGCCCCACAAGGCAGAAATGAGAAAGCACAATCGGAGGGCCCTGCTGGATCAAGATCATCAAATCCAGCATCCTTCTTCTCACAATCAACAACTGAGAAGCCTTCCCAGTAAGGCATAAAGCAGGGGGGTTTTCTCAATCCCACTTTGTATGAGGTAACCTGGGTCATCTCACATTGTATTGATTTTCTACTCTGCTTCACCAACAACTTGGTCATTCAGCCAGAGCCAGCAAAAGAATTGCCCAGCCCTGTTGTACAAAAACGACCCTTCCCTGTGGTGAGGAGGGTGATTGGGGGAGTCAAGCCTGGATTTTATCACCTATTTCTGGCAGCCCTCTTTCCTCTTTGGTGAATCTCCCGCTTCCTTTTCACCTAGGTGTGAGATCTGTGGTTTCACCTGCCGCCAAAAAGCGTCCTTGAACTGGCACATGAAGAAGCATGATGCCGACTCCTTCTACCAGTTCTCCTGCGACCTTTGTGGCAAGAAGTTTGAGAAGAAGGACAACGTCACTGCGCACAAGAGTAAGAGCCATCCCGAGGGGGCCACCGGGCCTCTCCCGCCAGCACAGGAGCCGCCCCCTCTGAGCTCTCCGCTTGCAGCAGAGCCAATGGCAAACCCAGTTCAGACTCAGCAATGTGACATAGGGAAAGGGGTGGAGCCTCCTGCCCTTGCAATTACCGTCATCATTGAATAGTGGACCGAGCAGAAGGAGGAAAAGCAACAGTGGAGAGAATTCCCGACATCTCCTGCAGGCCGATTGCATTACGTCAGCAGGTTACAAAATCAGGAAAGACACATGGGCCCCAGCCTCTAAAACAAGATCCCACCAATCACAATCTTTCACTCAGCTCCTCTGGGCTCAGTTCTGGAATAAAAGGACAATCTTGGGGTTCTGCCTCGCCTGGCTCCAGGATGTCTAGTGGTGGGGCATGTCATCCCGAGAGCCAGTTTGGTGTGTTTTCCTTCCATCTGTGGGTGAACCAAAGTACACTGGCATAATTTGTTCTGTCTGTACAGCTGCTCTCTCCTGTTTCTCGAATGAGGCTGGTGAATGGTGCTGTCCTAACTGTTTACTGCAGGGCAAGTTAAGCTGCAAGAATTGGTGGATTTCTCAGCCGGTGGGAAAAGCATTGGCCGTGTTAATTATACCCTTTAACGTAGGATGGTACCAGAAGTGGGGCAGGAGACCAGCTTGGACAAATGGGTATAGCAGTGAGTTTAGCCATCTATCCAAACTTCTATTCCAGAGGTCTTAGGTCAATCTGTTTGTCAGACTGTAGCAGAGCCATCTCCATGTCTGGATATTTGTTTTACATAGTCTGACAGGTGAGCTGCTCCCCAGAGTCCTCTGGTCAGTAGATTTGAGCGTCTGTATGGTGACTTACCTGTCAGAACTCTAAAAACAAACATCCTGGCCTGGAGGCCATTGCAACATCTCTCAGAAGGATATGGGTGTGGCGGCATTTGCTTCTCCACAGATCTGGTCAGCGGTTTGGTCCTGTCATCATGTCAGTTGACTAGCACAAAATGAAATGGCCATGGAGGGACGTTGGCAGGGAAAGAGATATGTCACACAGCAACCAAAAATCAGTCAACAGGAGCAGGGGAGATGTCACCCCTGACACAAAGTGTGACATTGCAGCAAGGTTCAGAGATGAGAACAAAGCTGCATCACCCAGTCTGGTCAAAGACCCAGGAGGAATATCTCTTTGAGTCAAAGTAGGGAATATTGGTGGATATGCCTGTAGCCCAATCAGAATCTTTCAGAAGCCTACCCTGCTACTAAACCTTTATGTAGATTGTGAGTGTAACGGGAGGGGCTAAGGCAGGGGTAGCTCAGCTCAAGCATGGCTGGCTCAGGAATTCTGGGAGTTGAAGTCCACGAGTCATAAAAGAGCCAAGGTTGCCTACCCCTGGGCTAAGGAGACATAAACACAGGTGCAGTCCGGACTTTACCTGGCCTGGTCAGGCAGTGATCGTGGAAGATATGAAGGGATCTGCTGTAGCTTTTAGGAACTATTTTGCAGTCTGCATAAATGATGCAATTTTTATATACAGGGCAGTGAAGATATGCATATTTTATGCCATTATGTTTTGCTAACCACAACGACTGACTTTGCAAGGGGCAAAATACGTGTTGAGTATTTAAGTCTTAGCCCCAGCTACTTGAAATGGTGGGTATGAACTTCTGACAACCACATAGCATTATTCACAAACATTGAAGCTTAAAATCGTCAGGAAGTATCTTTATGGCTGTATAAAAAAGGTTACAAGGGATTTTTTTAAATGTACTTTTAAAGTGGAAACGGAGTTTCTTGGAAGGCCGTATTCCACTGACAATTTCATACGCTACTATTTTTCTATTTGTATGTCACTATTAAATGCACATTATTCTGATTAACTCTCCACTCCTGTCTAGCCGGCCCAGATTTTAAATTGTAATAACAGACATTCATAGGAATAGTTTTCGCTGTTGTGCTCCATAGAGCCAGAAAGATGTGTCATATTTGCCAAGCAGAGCTGCGCTTCCCTGCTTCACCCTCTGGAAACAGGATGTTGCCATTCAGAATTTTTTTAAGTCAAACCAGGAGCCAGAAAAATAGTTTACAAGTCAAAAATGGAGGGAAGGAAGCTGCAATTTAAAGATGCAATCTAGCATTAGTGCCAACTTTGATTCTTCCTTCCCGGTAAACTGTATCTTTGGACTGCTTATGCCTCATCAGCCTCAATTCCTACCTGTTTTAGATATTCGTACCCCGAACTTTAGGGTGAAGTCAGCTTCCAGTACATGGAGCTTTGCTGTCAAAAGACAAATAAGAATTGTATTGAGTGTTGATACTTGAAAGACAGCTTTCTTCATACTCTCAGGATTATATAAACACTGAAAAACAAAACATTTTGTGATGAGGACTTCAAGTGAATAACACGGGATCTAGATTTCTCCTTTTTCAGGAGACCCTGTATACCAGGCTTAGGAAAGCTCATATGTCTAATATATTACTCCTTTGACTCATTTCTAGGATGTTGAGAGAAATATATGTATTAAAAGGCTGTGGTTGGAGGGCTCTGAGCATTCCTCATGTAATGGTGCCATCTCTGCAGCATTTACATCTCCTGTCATTAAAGAAATACTTCTGCTGCTTGTCTGTATGAGGTCCTACTCTGCCTCATTTGGACTGTAAGATTCCTCACAGTCTCATTTTTCTTAAAATAAAAAACCTCGGCATTCATGAGTTTAGAAAATGAGTTTGGGAAATGCTCCAGTGTATAAGTATAGTGTTTTAATTTCATAAGATTTTGGACAGTTATGCCCAGTTTTATGTCAAGCCATGCCAAACACAGCCATGCTGGAGTCCTAGATATGTATAGATTTAAATCCAAGGAATTTTCTTACCCGGCAGCTATAGTGAGACTTCACACCAAGAGTTCTCAGTCCATACAGTTGTCTTCTATACATTTCGGGAAACAAATAAATGATCAAAGGGTTAAAACCAAATTTACTGAATCTGTTTTATTTTGACAAACTTCAGTTTAGCAAAATTTAATCTTACTTCTAATTAAGGGAAAGAAGGAGGAAGAGCTATGTAGACTAACAACTGCTTTCTGTGGCTGCTTCCCTTGGAGATTTCAGACACTGCATAAGTATTATGTCTTATAACCTAATGAAGATTTCAAAGTTGTGTTGTTTGATAAGAAGACTGAGGTTCTTAGGGAATTGAATTTAGCTGTTTACATTCCAAGATTTTTCTTCATTTACACAAATGCTAAAAGTTCTGAATTTCTAAATTTTGCCGTGCCAAAAGGAGATGGTTGCTGGGTTTTGATTTCTTTTGGAGATGGATATGAAATATTTAAGTTTGTTGGAAGGTTGGAAAAAAATAAATGAATCTTCCCCTATAAAAATGAAGCAAAACAGTGAGAGATACTTGCAAATAAACTAATGTTTGAAATCCCTGTTTAATTACCTACTGGTCTTAAGTGTATGTCTGGTATTAAATCACTATATATGTTTATTTATCTTAAGAATTACAGGAAAATAATAAAAAATGAAAAAATATAATTAGTCATATATCACATAATAACCACATTTTGACATGCAACTATTTTTTTTCAGTGATCTCCAGGCCAGGAAAACTGAGACATAAAATATGGTTCTTAAAAAGGAGGTCCTTTGCTAACTTTACAATGCAAGCCACCATAACTGCATTAACACAGTGTTTTAGCTGGGTTCATACATGGTACTAAGACAAAATCCGACATGTTTGCTTCTGACATTTTTTTCCTTGACTCCAATCCTTGTGGTTTGTAAACCCTCAGCTTATACAGCTTAGACTGTGCTGTAAAGTTGATGATAACTTTTGGCAACCATATAGAGCAGGGGTGTCAAACTGCCTGGGATACATCATAGCAAAACCGCACCCACCCCATTGCCAGCAATGGCAAAAAAAGTCACGATACGTCACGACACATCACGTGAGGTTGCGAGTTTGACACCCCTGATATAGATACATCTTTTTCAGGATGATCTGTCTCCTTTTTTCTTTCCCTCTATTAGCTTCTTCAAAAAGCTAAGTCTTCATATAATGAGTTCCTTAAAGCTTTGAATATTCTAAATAGATATGATTTTTCTTTGTTCATTTTCTTGGCTATTCTTGGGAATCTTCTCCAACGCTATTTAGAATAGAGTAGAATAGAGTAGAGTAGAATAGAATAGAATAGAATAGAATAGAATAGAATAGAATAGAATAGAATAGAATAGAATAGGAAGGGACCTTGGAGGCCTAGTCCAGCTCAAGCAGGAGAACCTATACCAGTGATGGCGAACCTTTTAGAGACCAAGTGCCCAAACTGCAACCCAAAACCCACTTATGTATCGCCAGGTGCCAGGTGGGCGTGGCCCATTGGATTGGTGTGACCCGTTGGGTGGGTGTGGCCCATTGGGTAGGCGTGGCTGCGGTGGTAACAGCAGACTGGATGGGACTAAAAAGTTCAATCAATCAATTCCAACTTTGCAAGATCTTTTTTTTTTGCTGCGAGAAGTTGAAATTGGTTGATTGATTAAACCTTTTTTTTTTGCACATGACGGCAGAGGCCTAAAGCGAAAAGGTTTTATGAAGGCCTAGGACTGGGGGGATGGTGCGCGTGCCCACAGACCTATACCATCTCAGACATTTAAGGTAAGGTATTTTTAAAAATGAGCAACTCAGGTACTCTCCAATCTAAAACTCAGGATCCTGTAAAGATTCAAATGAAAGGTGCTAGAAAGTTATTTACATGTTGCACTAGACCAGGGGTAGGCAACCTTGGCTCTTTTATGACTCGTGGACTTCAACTCCCAGAATTCCTGAGCCAGCATGGCTGGCTCAGGAATTCTGGGAGTTGAAGTCCACGAGTCATAAAAGAGCCAAGGTTGCCTACCCCTGCACTAGACCCTACTGGTTTAATTAAAATTTATTTAATAAACCAAGAATTACCTGATTTTGCACAAAAGTGTAAGTCAGAAATTACAGTTTACTAACCACAGTCACTAAACCAAAAAAGCAAATCAACTTTTGGGTTTGGACAATATGTGATCCTAACCGGGTTTATGCCATAATCCTTTCCCAAAAATTAAAGCTTTGAAGTTCAAAAGATCTGTTCAAAGGTGAATTTGTACAATTACAGAGTATCCCCACGAGGGGGCTCTTTTAACTAAATACCCTGGCAAATTTTCCTTCGCACAGGATTACTTCCAGTCGCTCACATACAGCGTTCACGGCTGGATAGACAACACCCTGGCCTATAATATGATGGGACTTCCGCCTTTATTCCTTCAAAGTGGAAGGGGGCGTGGCTAAATAGGGGTATCTCCGGTTATTCAGCTAATAACGGTAGAATCGGACCGGAATGAAAACTGTTAGTAGGAGTACCGCTGTAGGTTCTAGGCGCTTCATTCCCAAATAGAATTTAAAGCGCCAGACTCATCACATTAAGTAACATCACGGGGAGAAAGAACAGACACGTAACGAGGAAGACTGCGTCGGAAGGTCGTGGCAACTTCTTTTGTGCTCTGGAAGGAGTAAGGAGCCAATTTACAGATCTGTTTCGGCAGCACGATTTACATTCGCCTCCGAGGCGGAATCGGGAAAGCCAGGGCGGACCAGAAGGAAGCCTTTCATTCTTCGGTAACTATTAAACAAATCTTCCCTGCTATCTGAATTTTTCCCGATCCGAAAGAGCCATCTGTGCACATCATTATAACAAGGGATTTCTTTCATTACATGTCTGGTTTCCTCTGTTTTTATCTTTTACCTTGTAAATCCATTGTCTCTGCTCCTCTACATATAGCACACGGTGTCATTGTGAAAATGTCCTTGCAGTTTATCAAGGATGACAAAGGTAAGGATCAGCTGCTTTATAAAGGATATCTGTATAAGAAAGTGCGGGCAAGCGGGAACAAAACGTTCTGGAAGTGTGCTGAATACCACAAATACTGCTGTACAGGAAGGGCTCACACAAGCCACGACCAAGTTATAAAGTCTTTGCCACATCTTCACCCTCCCACCAGGATGCCAACGGAAGCTGACCAAGTGCCATATGGCGTGGAAAAAAACACCATGGGCCCGGAATCAAACCCTAAAGTGAATACAGCAAGTTGTGATGCCTTGTCTGAAGTCCGTACCAAGAAATGGTGTACACACCATCCAAGCCAGACAATACAACGTTTGAGAGCATGTTTGAAGGCAAGCCGCCAACCTTCGCCCAATTTACCGGAATCCGTCGCTGCTGTTGAAACGACTATTAAAGAGCCAATTGTGCCATCAGCTTTAACATCTCCTGGCTTTCATGAGTTCACCGACAGCTCTATGGACATGCCAAACCCTGGTCTTTGTCAAGAAAAGTATGCTCTGAACTCGCCTTCAATCCAGGCTAATCGAGAAGCGGGTCGACAGAGATTCCGCCTATCCACCCTTCTCCCTGGAGAAACTCTGCAGGAGATTCTGTCCCGGCTGACTACTGCAGCCCTGCAATGGCTCTGTCCTCAGGAGCACAGCAAAGACCAGATTGTGGACATGGTCATCCTGGAGCAATTTCTCAGTGTGCTTCCAGTGGACCTGCAGACATGGTTGAAAGCCCAGGAGCCAGGCAGCAGCAAGGAGGCCGTTCAGTTGGCTATGGCCTATCATAAACAGGAACCTGCCAAGCCCATTCAGGTGCTGGGGAATGGGGTATACTAAGGATGTATTGGCATGACATTATCTTTAGAATGGAAACCTGTCAATGTAGCTGATACTTAAACATGCTAGAAGTTCTAGTGATGCCCTTGGTGCTCCTGAATTCACAGGAACCAGTGCAGGCAGTTGTGAATGGAGAAAAAATGTCTGTTTGGCCTCTTTGGTTAGAGAGCTTCTAATGCTGTAATCCTTTACTTACAGCTAGAACATCCATAAGGAAGTATTTTGTAAAGGAGGGGAGGGGTCTGGTGGATATAAGGAATTCATTTGAGGTCTGCAGCTTAAGGAAGGAAAAAGCTTTATCCGGAGTAAGATATTCAGAAAAGCAAGGGGTGACTCATTTCCTATCCTCTAAAATAGCCAGCTTTAATTTCCTGGCAGACTCTGTGTGTTTTCCTGGTTTAGAAATTGGGGAGAGTGAAAGCTGGTCTAAAATGCATATATTGTAAAGGAAAAATTTTATCCTGCTTCTCTTACTGCTCTCGAAGGCCCATGTATTTTGGACAAAGAAAATACTTCCTGTCTTTGTGTTGATACAGGCTAATTGGTAGTTGGTAGATTCATGCACAGATTGTGCTGCTTACATGTAATCTGGTTATACAGTATAACCAACATGGATGCTATGGATTTGGAATCTTTGCTGATGCACAAAAGGAGGGTTTTTTTTATCAAAGACATATATCTTCTTAATCCTCAGCTTTTCAGTAAATGTAGTTCCACAGTAATTGTCATCAAGCATTTAGTATTTTTGCAAAGAAATATGGATGTGGCTGCAAGATGCTAAAATTTGGAATAGTGGAGGAAGGTCTGGAGCTAAAATAAAATTAGAACTTAGCAAAATAAGTATTGGAATAAATACATGTATAATAAATATACCTGTATTCCCATATATAAATGGCAAATTCCCAGGCTGCTACAGGAAAGCATTTGGGCAGAGACAGAAAACATTTTTAGTGTATTCTTTTTTTTAATATATATTAAGTTTTATCAACAGGAATAAAATGCAAAACAGAAAAACATACATCCAACAACAAAAAATAATTGTGTACAAAAAAGAAAATAATGACACAAACATCAAATAAGTCTAACATTGAACATACAAAAAAAAAATCCACCCTGGCTGAATGTTGAAAAGAAAATTTACAAACCCTGATAATTTCTTCTCTTATATAATGGATCTACAAATAATTATAAGTCTTCTCATTCTTATTTAGCAAGAAAAATATATAAACAAATATTTCAGATGAGGAAATCTCTAATAATCAAATCAACCCAACATCTAATTATAATATATATTTTTAAAAATGAAAAAATAACAGTCAACAGGTTAGTCCAAACATTACACTAGTCTTCAAATCCCTCTGTTAACCATCTTTTATTTTAGAAACTCCACAAACGGCTTCCAGTCTCTTATAAAGCTGTCTAGTCCATTGTTTGATTATTGATTTGATCATATTCATAATTTGTTAAGAATACACCAGAAAATTTTCTTCTAATGTATTCTTAACAAATTATGAACATGATCAAGTCAATAATCCTGATGTAGAATTCTAAAGTCAGACTGGCTGTTTCTGCTCATTAGTGCATCTGGTCCAGAACTGCCTTTTCCAAGTAGCACTAATTCTCTAGTAACATGGAGATGTGAGTTTTTCTGGGATCCTTTAAGTAGAGAAGCTTATGATTAAATGGGAAATCTTCTCCATGCAGATCATGTGCTCTACATCAGAAACAGGGTATGAAGGAAACACTGATCCACTTCTGATTGTTCAAACAAAAGGGATACAGGTAGTTCTCAACTTACAATCATTCATTTAGCAACTGTTGGAAGTTACAACAGCACTGAAAAAAGTAATTCATGATGGTCCTCGCAACCACTGCAGCATCTTCATGGTCATGTCATCAAAATTCGGGCACTTGGCAACTGGCATGTATTTATGACAATTGCAGCATCTTGGGGTCATGTGATTGTCATCTGTTGACTTTCCGACTAGCAAACTCAATGGGGGAAAACAGATTCGCTTAACAATCATGTGATTCAATTAACAACTGCAGTGATTCACTCAACCACGACAAAAAAGGTCATAAAATTGGGCATAACTTGCTTGACAATCACCTTGCCTACCAATGGAAATTCTGGTTCCAAGTGTGTCATAAGTCAAGGACTACCTGTATTCAGTGTCATATAGTGCCTCTAAAATTTAGAGCAGGGGTGTCAAACTGCCGGCCCACGGGCCGGACGCATCACGTGGAAGCCGTGCCCACCCCATTGCCGGCAATGGCAAAACCGGCCCGATAGGTTGCACGGCGTCACGTGATGTCGCGAGTTTGACATGCCTGATTTAGAGCAATGCTTGCCAAACCTTTTCCTTCATTACCCAAAACCACTTATCAAAAAGTCTTAACCAACTACAAGGACCCATCATAAGACCTTTTCTTCAGCCCCGTCGTGACTTAAAATGGTAACCAAGCGAATGATCATAACTGAGTGACTATCTGTATTATAAAACAATATTATTGAATGACTTTGTCATTTCAACAAACTACCATTAGCAATTTCATCTAAATATGAGTACTTTGGAAGATGTTTGAGTATATTTTAGTACACATGGCAAAGGCAATTTAAACATCCCTATTATAGTAATGGGTTGATGTGTCATTATCCAAAGAAAAACTTTTGACCCATTTTGGGTAATTTACCCAGATTTGGGAAGTTCTGAATTAGAGAATCCATTTAGCTGTTATGGTTAATATATGTTGCTAGATTTGTAACCCACAAATGGTTAAATCTTTTCTTGGAGCCATCCAAACCAGTTTCCATTTATGGCAAATTGTTCTGAAACAAAGCAATGGCTGGAGAACAGAGTTTATGTGTGAGTTACATCAGTGAAGTGCATAATTGTCTAGTTGGCAGCAGAGTCAATTTGGAGAATATGAAATTTTCACTTTCCATATTGATAATTTTTCATTGCTTTGTTATTTTCAGTTTGCATTTCGTATCTAGCCATCCAGTAATCATGTGTGGCACATTGCTTATTCCCCTCTTACAAATTGGGAATAAAACTAGACTTGACCTGGATAGTCAAAGGAATTAGGGATAGTGCTGATATTTGATCAGTAACTCCATCTCAAAGTCTTTGCAAAATACCATGCAATTAATAGACTAACCCCTCTGATTATTTTAGGATACGATAACCTTTGAAGATGTATCTATTCATTTCACTGAGGAAGAATGGACTCTACTCAACCATAAAGAAAAAAACCTTTACTGGAATGTCATGCATCAAAATTATGATAATGTAGCCTGTTTGGGTAAGAATTCTGGGGAAATCCTAGAACAGAAGTCTTCTGTAGACTAGAAAACTAAGGCAACTTGTTACTTTTTAGACGTTTTGATCTACAATTCCTATAGCAGTGGTGGCGAACCTATGGCATGGGTGCCAGAGGTGGCACTCAGAGCCCTCTCTGTGGGCACGCGCACCGTCGCCCCAGTCCTAGACCTTCAGCTGGGTTTTATAAAACCTTTTTGCTTTAGGCCTCCGCCGCCGTGTACAAAAAAAAAGGTTCAATCAATCAGTCAATTTCAACTTCTTGCGGGGAAAAAAAAAAGATCTTGCAAAGTTGGAATTGATTGATTGAACTTTTTAGTCCCACCCAGTCTGCCGTTACCATTGCAGCCACGGCCACCCAATGGGCCACGCCCACCCAATGAGCCACACCCGGCACCCGACGATGCATAAGTGGGTTTTGGGTTGCAGTTTGGGCACTCGGTCTCTAAAAGGTTCGCCATCACTGTCCTATAGCTTACAAGGGTCGAGTATTTGGAACCAAAGGCCAAAGTATTTGAAAGGCTCAGATTAATTTACCTTGGAACTAAGCTAAATTCTGAGTGATGTAAAAAGATATTATCAGAGTTTATCCAAAATGTTTTGATTAGCTAGTGGCTTCACAAATGGTGGCATGCTGTCCAGAGCTTCTTGGATTAAAGACAGGCTACAAGTAGTCCTGACTACTGGCGCTGAACTTCAAAAGTATAACAGACCTCCCCAGCAGTATTTATGACCTGGTTCCAACAGCCACCCCCACCCCCACACAGTCATGTGACCATATTTTAGGCATTTGACAACCAGCCCACATTTATAGCCATTTGCAGCATTACATGGTCACATGATCACATTTTTAAACAATTTTGCCGAAAACCAGCATTTACATCCAAACCAGCCCATAGCAAACAATTGGTTCGCTAATTACTGTGGCGGTTGCTTTATGATTGCCATGTTTGCTTAATGGCTGCTGCAAAAAAAGGACATATATCGGGTCACTCACATGGGTAACCCGCTTTATGACCATCATGACTAACAACCGTAATGGGCAGGCTCTATGGTCCGAAATGGTATAGGGCAGTATTTCTCAACCTTGGCAACTTTACGATGTGGACTTCAACTCCCAAAATTCTCAAGCTAGCAAAGCTAGCTAGAGAATTTTGGGAGTTGAAGTCCACACATCGTAAAGTTGCCAAGGTTGAGAAACACTGGTATAGGGTTTCCTGCTGAGCAGGAGGTTGGACTAGATGACCTCCAAGGTCCCTTCCAACTTTATTATTTATTATTATTATTATTATTATTATTATTATTATTATTATTATTATTATTATTATTATTATTATTATTACCTGTACACAGCAGAATATTAAAAAGTAAGCTGAAATATTATTTGGTTGCACACAAAGAGCAAGTATAACCATCCAGAATAACTGAGAAGAAGTTATGGTGGTATATAAGCTTAATAAAATAATAAAGAAATTCTACACATGGGTAGAATTTTTAATCTACTTAGAATACAGAGCTTTTATAAAATTATTATATTTAACATTATGATTAATTTATTGAAACAAGAGTTTTCACTGCAATCAAATATTGGTGGACTTAAGGGATGTTTTGATTGTTTCTTTCCTTTAGCAAGAGATCAGATCAAAGGAAAAAGCCAAGAGGAAGACCTTTTGCAGGAAGTCTTTGATCCAGCAGTGGAGTGGCTGGAAAAATCCAAGGAGACAATTTTACAACGTCCTGAACAAGAGTTGAATAAGAACTGTCTGAAGAACCAGCAAAAGAGAACCTTGGAGAAGGAAGAAATATTCATTTGTTCTGAAAGAAATGTGATGGGACCAGACAGAGACATAATTCTTCTAGACACCGAAGTAGGGCTGCAGAGTCAATGCCTACATATTGATTATGGAGAAAGTGGTACTCCTGCAATACCTATCAGTGATCAGAAAACCCTGAGTGAGGAAGATCTAACAGGCTCATATGGAATATCCAATAAGATACATCTCCAGAATCTTAAGCAAAATTTAATCAAAGAGGAACAGAATGATACTGAAAGACAACAGGTAGAAAAAGAGAAATTTTATGGAGGCCATTGTAGGAATCCAGTCCATCATGAAACTAAAACAAGTCGGAAAACTGTGTGCGCAGCCATTGATGATACAGAACAAACTGAGCCACTAATACTTGACAATTGGGGAGATTTTAGATATGTAGATAAATCATTGGAAACAATTATGGAAAGAATTTCTCCAAGTTCTGATCCAGATCCAATGCTCATTTGCTCAAAAATATGTTCTGCTGAGTTGAATGAAAGTACGGATTTGACCAGTGAAAACCAGAATATTCTGGAAAGTGGTCTGGTTAATAGTTCAGAAAATGTAGGAGTGCTGGAGAAACTCAGTTATTTTGGAAGTGTTTTACAGGAACCCGCAACACAAATTCCTCATTCAGATGTTCAACAAGATTCAGAAGCCCAGTACAGATACACCAGTCATAGTAATGAAGATGACGCTTCCAAAATCAACCTTGGGGGTCAGTTGATTACATGTCCTAAGTATAAACATATTAATTCTTTCAAAAAGTATGCCTGTTCCAATCCTGAGGAAATCATCAATAGCCTTTCAGCTTTAATAAAACACAGAAGAGCTGACCGAAAATATTTCAGTAGAAGAAGTTTGAAATTCCAGTCTGGAATACATCATAGAACTCACACAAGAAATAATCTCCAGAAACGCTTGATTAGGCATAACTGGTGGTACTTTAAGCAAAACAGAAGCTGGCTTTTTGAATTGGGAGTTACTCTAAAGCAGTTTCCAAAGTTTGATTCCATAACACTTAACACCCAAATAGGTGAAGCTTTGTACCTGGCTGTGCAAATCATAAGGAGGTTTTCTGCAACTGGGTTTTTCTCTTCAAGTTCCCCCCAAATGGAACAACAGGAGAGATCTTTTCCTCTTCCCTTTCTAGACAAAATGGCTACTGAGCCTACCTTAAGCCAGGTAATGACTGTGCTACAGCAGCTGGCTGCTAATATTGCAGAAATCAAGGCAGCCATCTCCAGCCTGCATTCCACTGTAACTAGCCTCCAGAATGGGTATTTCCCTGAGTGCACAGTTGAAGCTGAGGGTGGGATTTCTGATTTGGAAGACCCCTCCCAAAAGACCAAAGCTCAGCCTGGGCAGCCTTGTAATGATATTAAAACCACTGAAGTCAAACAAGTGGGAAAATCCACACAGACCAATGTAAGAGCTGAACTGTGGTCATCTCTGAATGTTGAAAAAGGCGCAAATTCTCCTCATCTCTCCCCAATTCATAAATCAGGAGATTCATGAAGAAAAGATTAAATTCCCAAACTGGCAAAATATAGAATTATGGAATTGGAAGCACCCATTGCTGGAAGTAACATTTATTTATAGTATTATTTGTAGAACACTTTTCAAAACTGCAAAAAGAAGCAGTAGTGATCATGGTAATAAAATGAAGTGTTTCTTGTGTCTGTGCATTGATGGCTGAGCATGGAAAAAGGAGATTTAAAGCAGTTTGCTGTAATCTCCATGTTCAGAAACAAACAAGACGGCCTCACTGATCTATCACACAAAACATAATATGGTAAGGAATATCTGTCAGAAAAAATTTCCTCTGGGGAAAGATTACGCAAGTAGAGAGAAGCAAAATAGTGATTTAAAAAGGCTAACCCTTTTTAGACAGAAGGAAAGAAAGAAAAGGGAGCTTTTAAAATATGCATTATCTAATGCGAGGGAATTGTCTACCTTCTTAATTCACTCCATATAACTTTCTTTTAAGCATAATGTTCCTGCAGCCTAAGTGTTCACCAAAATGCTTTTGAAAATAGGATTCTGTCTCTTTATGTGGATGCATACAAATACATAGTTTTGAGTGTGCACTTCTATGCACTCTTGGGTGCTTTTCTTGGGAAGAGTTTCAAGTGGTTTGCTTCTGATTTCTTCTATGATATTTGTTTCACTTCTCAGCCTAGATTAGATCCCTGGAATCTTTGATAGTCTTCCATCCAAGCACCATCAGCCAAAGTTAGTTAAATGCTGCCATTTTATAATAATAATAATAAAGTTGGAAGGGATCTTGGAGGTCATCTAGTCCAACCCCCTGCTCAGGCAGGAAACCCTATATCATTTCAGACAGATGGCTGTCCAGTCTCTTTAAAACTTCCAGTGTTGGAGCATTCACCGCTTCTGAAGGCAGGTTGTTCCACTGGTTAATTGTTCTGTCAGGAAGTTTCTCCTTAGTTCTAGGTTGCTTCTCTCCTTGATTAGTTTCCACCCGTTGCTTCTTGTCCTGCCTTCAGGCACTTTTGCTAAAAGAATAAGCTGTATGGCCTAGCGCAGGGGTAGGCAACCTTGGCTCTTTTATGACTCATGGACTTCAATTCCCAGAATTCCTGAGCCAGCTTTGCTTTGCTGGCTCAGGAATTCTGGGAGTTGAAGTCCATGAGTCATAAAAGAGCCAAGGTTGCCTACCCCTGGCCTAGCGTGACATGTAGTCCAATTCCAACAGTGACCAAGTAAATCCACCTCTTTATGGGATTCCTACAAGCAGGCCAAGGCTTAAAGAAGAGAGTCCTCTCTCAGAATTTGTCTCCATAACTTGAAAGAACTGCCTTTGACCACAATCATTCCATTTAGGAAACGTATTTTTATAGGTTTCTCTTCATAAATATGTGTCAAAACTCCTTTGAATTCCAGCTAAACGGCCTGGGAGCGAGCACATCGTAGAGCAGTTGAACAATGTAAGGCTGCATTTTGCTGTGCTTGGCTCTTGGGTCAGTGTTTTTCATTTAGTAATCTGAATACCTGGAGAAAGTAAGAGGGGTGTTTTATAGATTGTGCCTTCCCACCTACGCACCCACAGTAGATGCTGCCTCCAGAGAAATAGGCCTGGCTCTGATTCTTCTCAGGGCCAGCCAGGAAAGGGTTTATTACTCCAGGAATTTTGAATGATTAATGGGTTAGGTTTAAGCTTTCTTGATTGGGGGGGCTGCTGCTTTTATTGTATTACTATTTTATGTCACTTTATTGTTATGCATTTTAGCTAGTCCTTTCTTAATATATATTTTGATGGCTCAGAATTTAATATGGTGATTTTAAAGTAAACAGTAAGGTATCCAAGCTGACATACTTTGGCTGACCAAATCTGAGTTTGAAAGCTAAGTAGCATCTGCCTGGATAATAACATGGATGACAGAATGACAGCTAGAAGGGAAAATCAAACGCATCTCAGTGGTAAACTGTTTCTTTATTACTACCACACACAAAAAAAACCTCTATGAACATATCTATTAACTCAATTGCTGGGAAAAGTAGGTTTTCCAACAGTGGGATACACATTTCAAAAATGAAATTAAAAAATATATTGACATTTTTCCCCTCTGCCCTTTGAAATTATCTCCCATTTCTTTAAAAAACCAGTCTCAGACAAGGTGATTCAGGTAGTCCTCATTTAGAGGCTGCCTCATTCAGCAACTGTTTGCAATTGCAATGGAGGTGAAAAAATAATTTTGCAACCAAACCTTGCATGTATGTCTTTCGCAGGTCTGTAAAACAAAGGCAAGCTGAAGAAAGATCATAAGCACAGTCACAGTTTCACTTAGCAACCACATTGCTTAATGACCAAGTTGCCATTCCCAATTGTGGTTGCTAAGGACCTCCCATACTTAGCACTTTATTAATAATAACAAGAGTTGCTACCTAGCAAATCCCCAAAGTAGCAGCCAGATCTCTTGATTGAGAGTCTTGGGAGCATCTGGGAGGAACGCTGAGCCAAGTGTTGTTGCAGCAGTGCTGAATCATGTCTAGCTGTCATTGCATCATTTAGTAATTATTCTTACAGGGAAAAGCTGGTAGCTCAGGAAATTTTTTTTTTTTTTTTTATTGAAAATTTTTAAAAGTTTTACAATATATCTCCCCCCCTCCCTCAACCCACCCTTCCCCACCCCCCTCCATTCCCCCCGACTTCCCAGAGCTACACACAGGGTTTACAATACAATAATTATATTCTATCTTAAATTATGTTACCCTAAAATTAACAATTCTATAACATTCTTTAGCTCCCTCCTAAACTAATATATCAATCATTATTACAAAATGTTTAATTTTAATAAAATGAAATATATTACATTAGCAATCCCAGATATTACTCAAAA